GCGAACGCAGTTGATGCGTCAAAACGTTCCGTACGCACTTTTTTCTTTTCCGAACTCAATTCGCACTCTATTTGCTCATACGATCAGTCGCCGCAGTCAGTGTACAATACTTCTACACAGTCATCAACTCACTCGACCGCACAGCCTCACACGCGCCTACTCCGACCGAAGCGCACACAACTTCTCGCTCAACGCACCTTCCGATGCGCAAGCCACATGCGATTCTTCCAGCAAATCCCACACCAACGACTCCATCTCGTTTAACCCCGATGCGCTCTCACTATCCCACTTCTGCGTTGTCTCCTTCAACCAATCCACACTACACGCACATTGATTCTACTCTGACAGACTGAACGACTGCCAACGCTTGGACTCCAAAGCAAGAGTCCGCACCTCAGCACCAACACTGCACAGCACATTCTGCACATGACGCAACGCGCCAGCCATACCAACCAATACTCTCTGCTGATCCGCCACTCGAACACTCAGGACCTCACGAACCAACTCCGAGCACTCCAAACGATCTGTCAACTCCAATAATGCACGCTCCGATAACCCGTCCATATAACTTGCACGAACCCTAGCCAACTGGCACACCAACTCACCTAACAATTTCTTCGCATCCACCACTGTCAGTCCCGATGATGTAGCTTACCCCGTTGCATATCCGGCTGACGACACCGTCACTGAAATCCAACAACCGAAATCCACATTCTGCACACATACATCGTACCAACCAGCTAACACGCCATCCGGTCTGTGCTCCGTCTCCCCAACATCGTCCCACGCCCACAAATCACCCGACATAGCAGATCCACATTTCTCCTCCACAGCCTCCCCATGGGTTCCAACCATCGGCAAAGGCAACGACAACAGCCTGTCACCAACAGCCAATACATCCACAACGAAGAGTGACTCGCTCATCTCTCTCTCATGCGAAACATTTACAGCGAAACCAACACGAGCACTGGCATCATCTGCAACACTCAACGCAGACGCCTTCACCCCAATGTCCATCGCCGATTCATCGGTCGCAACACAACGCGAGCCAGCCACCAACTCACTCTCAGTCTCCGAGTTACGCGCCCGCTCACACGCCTCTCTCAGGTGAAGGTGCTCGAAATGACTAGTCAACTCATCCTGCAACCGACATATCACATCCGCCTCCTCCAACAATGCCGACTTCGGCTCACACATACCCGTCATGTCAGGCCCCACACCCGTGTCACGTGCTGCGACGCCAATCACCGTACCATCCAACACGCACTCCTCATCCGTTTGACTGCTCACACGTTTCACATAATTTTAGGACGGGACCGAATCATGCACACTAACCACTGATACACGCTCCCGCATCCAAATCCGAACAAATACCACCAGGTAATCGCACCAATGTCGATGATGAGCACGGGACCGAATCACACACCTCAGCCGACACATCTGGACGTTCCGTCAACGCTACGTCCACTCGCCCACTGGACCGAATCAATCCAACCTCACTCCATGAACCATCACGAACACCAACATCAATGCGAGACCGCAACTCCTCACACTCCGCTCGAGCAGACCGCAATCTCCACGCGTGAACGCTCATTTCGCGCGCGACCTTCAGAACCAACGCTGGCAAACTCACTGTCATATAGCGATCTAAGTTGATCCTCCACGGATTGTGGATCACACCGAACATGATTGACCGAGACAAATGAATCTCTTCCAAATTCTACTGGCCCAATCAATATCCATCCAAGTGGGCCTCTTACTGCAAATGGCTGATTTCTCCCACCGAGACGCTGTTCTAGGTGCCAATGGGGCCGCAGGTACATCAGCTCCAATTATAATTCGCACACGGTTAGCTCGGATCTCACTAACTTGTATACCATTGAGGTGTGGCCATCGACAAACTACAGTTTTAGTAAGGACTTTGACTGGTGGTAAATTCAAATTCTTTATGCAATAGGCATGAGGAACATGAATCATATCATCACCACTCAATAAGCTTAACTGAAAACCAACAGAGCTTGCGTCAATCAACGAAGTACGAGCCACCGTCCTAACTTTTAACGATTCAGGCGAAAACTCTATTCCAACTACATGTAAGAAACGTTCCTGTACCAAGGTTACATCTGACCCACTATCCAGCAATGGCTAAGTTTCGATGGATTTCAGAGCACCCTGTAGACGCACAGGTAATATGCCCAGTCGTATTTCCTTTCTTGGACAAGAAGCAATACAACAGCAGCTGGATTTTAGCATCGGGTCCATATTGCGCTCCAGGTATAGTAGGGGGTGATGACGACCCCTGCAACCCGAGTGGTTACACCTGTCATCCGATGTGCAAGAAGCAGCCAAGTGACCACTGCCGAGACATTTATAACATCCTTTCTTCTGTTTTATTAATTTCCATCTATCAGGCACCCTGGAAGCTAGAAATTCTTGGCACATCGCAGTATCATTTTGGCCGCCACAAACAAGGCAAGCTGAGTTCGGTTCCACTCTAATTTAGCACACTGATTGATGCTAGCCTAATTCCTTCTGTGTACCGGGATGGGCAGACTTCGCGAACAAGACACGCCTAACTCAGGCATTGATACTATCTGTCCCAGTCTACAGCGCCTAATGCGGGCTTCAGAAGCGACGAAATCAGACAGGTCTTCGAACGTGATTTCTCTCCCTTCTTGCAGGATGGTATCGGCGGTGCGCGCCCATCTTGTCTTCATACTCGTAGGCAACATCCGTACAATTCTTTCGACAGTTGCAATCGAATCTAGGTCAGCGAGAAACCTCATATTGTTCAACGCTATGTGACAATTTTCCATATTTAAGGAGAGACGAAAAATTGGTTCGGCATCTTGGGCAAGTTGCCTTAGATTTATAAGTAATCCATCAGTAAGTGATCTGGCAACCATATGATTCTGACCAAATAAATCCCGGAGGATCATTCTAGCTCGAATGTAAGCCTGGTCCGGAGGCAACATAACACACTCGCTGATAGCTTCCCTCGCCCGATTTCGACAGTAGTACAAAAAATATAGTAGTCGTTACCCATTATCCTGAACCCGCTTCTCAACGAAGTACTCAAATTGCTTCATGAAGCTTCAATACGTGCCAGGATTACCGTCAACATATTCAAGTTCTATCTTGGAGAGGTCCAGTGGACGATCGATCCCAAAGGTCTGATCAGCGGCATCAGGCAAGAGTTTGTACTCATTTGGGGAAGCTCGATATTCTTCGATAATATTACTATATCGTTCGCAACATTCCTTTGCGTCATCACATAGTTCTGGCGACCGGTTAACAGGCCCTGTCCTTCCCAGCAGTAAGCGACTATAACGCTCCACTTCCTCTTCAGATATCAACTGTTATTTCTTCCATTCTGCTAGTTTCAATGCAATATTAGTGGCCTCGGATTCCATTTAAACTCTACTACTGTCCCTAGCCCTACTACTAACCGGCAAACTAGACTGGGACTTAAGGTCGTCTGCAGCAACAATAAAGCTTTCAAATTTCCGATTTTCCTCAAACTTTCCAGCGTTCTTCCGTGCTGACCTTTACGACATCGGATATCGAACAAGTAATCCTGGATTGTCAAGCACTGTTACCATCAAATCGGCGATGGTTTCAAGCAACACGTAAGATTCCCGGATCAATTCAGAACTCAAGGCCAGAAGTGTGTTACGGTGCTATTTTTACAAAGGGTTAGAACAACAAATTGTATGTTGACCTTGACAGTGTCCACCACAAATGCAAAGTAGTTCAGTTCTCAAATTAAAACCGGACGTCCCAACAATACCGAATGCCGGCAACAAGTAAGTGAAGTCCAGACATGTATACGACCGACTAAGCATTTAGTCGGATGCGATTAAAAGCAAAACGACGCACAGTCCAATCAATCAACCGTAAAATGTCAGCTGATAAGAGTCAGTCACAGTCTGAAACAAGGGAATAGTTATAGAGTTGGGGCATGCTTCGATGGAATCCAACAGGTTGTCATTTGTCCGTTACAGGTGGAGTGCTATATATAAAGCTGAAGCGAAGAGGAGGGCGGTGCTGAGGCTAGCTGTGTTGTAACGGTTCTACCACTGACCACACTTATTTCTCAATCCTGATCAGGTGTACTTGTGAGCCCATCCACAACCAGCATTGGAGTTAGTAACTTTATGCTTCAAGCCAACTCTGCTTCCGTTTACACCCAGCGTCATCGTGCACAAAGACGGCAGTCACTGAGCAGTCCTTTGAGTTGTCCATCGGAACCGTTAAAGTCTACTGAGGGGAATTATGTAGCTCAGCGACCGGCGATCTGAACTGTATTCGTGGACGATCATTACCATTACTAATGCGATGTGACTGGGATGTCGGTGATCAAAAATAGCCTTTGTGCGTCGTTCATGTGTACTGATGCGTGGTAGCCTTGTTCCTTCGGTGTATGGCTGAGGTCACATTGGCGCCGTAACCGGTAAGGCCAGCACTGACCACCAGCGCTCTAGAAATTCGCGACGAGCGCTTATGGTTTAAACCACTTGGGTTCTGGTAGTCCTCAAAATCACTAAGCTTATTGCTTCGCCCCAACGAGTAACCAAAATCCGTAAGTGGAATTTGCTTCTAACAGGTCTCGGGAGCTAACGCATGTGATGGTAGATGATAGATTAGGCGAATGAAACGGACAGAAAGCACACAAGCGCTACCCACGCGGACTGACGGTAATTGCGTGAACCCGATGGGCAATGCGGTCTTGGCTCGTTCTAGTATGGACGATACGCAGTGTAGTAGAGAGCTACCTTAACAGCATTCTGTTTTGAGTTCCTCGTAGAACTTCTTTAGACAATTTGTATATCCGCATATTTTGTCATTCATTATTGAATTCTCTGGCTTTCTTGCTCAGCCTTCGAAATCACTTGATTTGTGAGTCACAGCGAATTTACTGGTTACCAACGCCTTGCCTCGTCAGGCTGCTGGAGTTTCTCATACCGTTTTTATCTTCCACTCTGTCTATCCTTTTCTAGCTGCCAGAGAGAATGAGCCGCTATGCAAAGAGTCATTTTTCTTGGCCGGCGTACAATTGGGTCGTCACGTCCGAGCCTGTTTGCGACATGCTATCAAGGTAAGCCCTCCGCTACGCCACTGTTGACGCATACCATGCCTCCACTCACTTCCACCTGAACGTTGCTATTTTTCTGGATCCCCGGATGCGGTCCACACCAATGGTTGGAGACCGTATCAGAGATGGCGCAGACGCGCAGTCACAGACGTTCCTGCATTCAGTTTTTTGCATATGGTTGTTTATTCTCGTTCCATTCTGATTAGTTTAACGCACTTGCTTCTTGCTTTCACTTTCTACACATTCTGTTTGCATTTAGCCGCGTTGTCTTGCCGTTTTTATTTATTTTTCTTCCTGCAATATGAGTCATGACAACTGTATCCACCACAATGCGGTGCTCGGATGATAGTTGTTCAACTGTACTGAACTGACATGTTTGCTATCCTAGCGTTTTCTAACTTGCGTCGGTCGAAATATTTACTTTGTACTGATCCTCCCTGGTTGAACCTGCTTCTCACTTATTAGTCCGTCGAGCAATTGAGTCAAGAGTTTTGCGAAGAACCCTCTCGTACAAGTTAGTATTTACCTCATCGCTCTGTGATTCATACCCTTTGACTGGAGGCAGAAGATGAGTGCCTCCGAGTAAAACGTAGCCTTTGGGACAAGCAATCAGAAAGTGTCCTAATACTCACGGTACTTTGTCAACAGTGGTCTGCCTCTGTTTGTTTTTTCCTTTTCAGTTTTATTTCATCCCCATCAGGCCGCTTCTGTTTTCTTCAACTACAGTGACAATGCAGTCTGATCACCATTCACTGTGCGCGCTCGCAATCAAATCGATCAGCAGCTTACGCTCGCATCGTGCACTTCCCAGAGTCGATGTGTTCTTCCCACAAAACATCATGGGGACGTTTTAGTGTCTGCGTCTGTTGGGTCCGATGGTTGGGCCACGTGTTGCGCATGCCAGCACGCCGACTTCCGCGACGTGCATTGTTTGCCCGTTGTGGGTGCGGTTGGAAGAGAAGGAGGGGAGGCCAAGCGATGACTTGGTGGAGTGAGATGAAAACCCTCACTTCGAAGTTGGCGTCGGTTGGTGCATCCCGACTGCCTGGCTGGGGTCCTAAGGACGGTGAACACGTTTGGTTGGACACACTTGCTGATATGGCTTGGAGCCGGTCCCAATGGCGTTTGTGTTGTGAGTTCCTTTATCCATCCCCCTCCTGCTTAGCATCCCCTTCTAATCACGATCTCACTCGTTAGGTATAATATATTTCTCTTTACGGCACGATAGCCAGCTGTTAGCTCTCCGGAACGATGTCCATCCGTTACTGGGGACTCAGCGGGCGTGCCACCGTTTGTTTTCCTTTTCTTGTCTTTTGTATTGCGGCACAATAGCTGAGGTGTTTTCCACCTTCAGCTAACGTGTATAATGATGAATGATGATGTTGGGTCCGGTTCCCCTCCTTCTCCTCCACATTTCTACTGATGCATAGACGTTGACTCGTGGCTTTTGCACTAGCAGAAAAATCCGTTTGTATATACTTAAGTATATGTTCGCTTGTGTGTGGTTCAACTTCGGAGCCCAATCGGTGGTCGAAAGCAAGGTGTCTTATCTTTCCGGTACACTCCTGCCATTTGCTGTCTCTTGACTATCAAGTGTAACCCCTTTTCTTCCGCGCAACTGCTAGTAAAGTTGTTGCGATTGTTTATGATGGTATGAACGCTCAGTTGAATTACCTATGAGTGGCCGAACTCTGTTTCGAGGCTGTTTCAGGATTGTTGTTTGACGTGTTGACCATGGGTAACACTTTCTTACTAGGCGCGCATTTTTCTCACAAACACCTCCCGTGTGGTTCCTTGAAACGACAACTGTCACCACCAAGGAGGCCCGGCACGGGCTGTTGCTTTTGATGCGAACGAGGCACCTGACCCAACTGACTTCTGTTGTTAGTGAGTGCCTGGTCTGGTTTCTCAATTCGATAGAATTCCGCATCTAGATGAGACTGCCCTAAATTGATGGTTATCAAGTTTCATTCTCATAATTGAATGTTCGCACAGGTCACCATATGTGAACACCAGAATTTCAGTCATCATAGCTACCTCCAATCTGCTTACTTTGCTCACTGGTTCTGAAAGCATCCAAATCGAAATACAGGCTATTTTACATTGCGCTAGAGGATAAATTGACCACAAGTTTAGGCTTTGCATCAAGCTTGTGCTTCCACTTGTCAGCCTTTCCATCTAACTATTCTACCCTTTTTCACGCATTCTTCTTTACACTCCATTCGTATTTTTGCGTCATTTCCCCTATGTTGTCCTCAGTTATCATTTATTTTAACTATTGGGACAATCTTCTTGATGTCCCAAGACTTATCTGTGGAGGAAAAAGAGAACCGGTTGGTTATTTATACGGGCTTTACTGGAAAGACTCGTAATTAAACCAAATTTCTTGGCTAAAATAATCAAAGGAGACGAATCGTTGATGTTCGAGTATAATCCCGAGACCAAATGGCAAAGTGAGGAATAGCGCACGCCAAATTCTCCTCATCCGAAAAAAATACGCAGGAGCAGATCCGGAGTGAAAACGATGCTCGTCTATTTTGACAACCGTGGAATTGTGCACAAAAATTCTTACCTCCAAGGAAGACAGTTAATCAGGCCTTTTACCAAGGTCTCTTGGAACGACTTCGAAAACGGGTCTAGCGGATCTGTTATTATTAATCCCTAAAATTTCCTCTTTCTAAATCCATCATCGCGCACGTGCCTCGGCCATGATCATTTTGCCCGTTACTGCTCTTCAATCCAGTGAGTTTCTTTGTTTGCATCGCGTGATCTTTCTCACATCCAAGACTGGAAGCAACCATTTTCTGACAAAGCAAATCGGGACAGTGCTATCTAGTTTTGACTGTTGTTTACCGCATTACTCGTTTTTCCACCCTTCACTGCGTTTTGTTGAAAAAGTATGGCTCGTCATGATCCTTGGCGTTGTTCTTTTCCTATTACCACTTTTCTTTTTCTAACGCTTATCTTCTTTTCTGAGGTTGCTATTCTTTCGCGATTATTCGAGCTAATTTATCCTGCTCATCCCCGGGAACCGTATGTACTTTTCTGCGTGCTTCGGTACCGCATTTCACCACTCAGAGTTGTGATTGATTTGCCACCAGTATGCCACGCATCGCATTTGTTCTTTGCGGTTAATCTTGGTGCCTCCTGTTTGTTTATGCTTCTCTGAACACATTATCACTGCGCTCATACCTATTTGTACTCCGTCACTTCCAGGAGCTGGATCTATCTACCAATGAAATTACCGTTGTATGTTGCGGAAAAATATTCCGGAGCTGGGATCTTCTCCAAGCGGGTGAGTGAAGACGTCGCAGGCTTTATCCCACATGCTTTTGGGCCTCGCACAATCCTCTCACTATCCCGCTGTGGCTTGTTGATTATTACCTCCTTGTTTTTCAGTGCGCGACACCGCAACACTCGCTATTTGCAATCAGCAAGCCGTCCTCTGCAAACAACAGCTTCCAAATAGTCGCCTCACTCGTCGTGCTCCTTGTTCTATTATCGGTGCACACTCGGCCACCCATCACCCTTCGGTGCTCATGTTTCATGTTCCACTAATGTATCCAACATGGCATTAAGAAGACTGGGGCTTTGGAAGAAGATTAGTGTCAACGTCTTAAAGTACTCCGAGCTCTGTGCATACAATAACACCTACGGACGTACCTTGTGCTGTGGGAATTAAAGTAGTCTAGTCTCTTTAGCCCTAGATACCCCAATTTATCTAACACTCATGACGGTATCTCATAGTTTCCTGTGCCCGACACGTTGAAATAGACGAAAGCGCCTTTATTGGCTAGCTCAGTTCGCGCCATTTTCCATCCGCTCCTATAGTAGCACAATGTGGATTGTGCTGCACCTGTATGAGACCCTTGCTCCACCTTACTGTGCTAACGATGATACTACTGGACAAGTTACGCACAGCAGGTTGGTGCTATGGCATTTGTTGACGCAGCACAATGAGCTCAGACCATGAAATAGTGCGATTGTTTACCTACCGTTCTGTGCCATTAACTTCCGCATAGTAACAATTTCCCAATGACCTCGAATTCACCCTTATCTTCTGGGTTTATACTTGGAGGCCAGTCATATTCTGTGTTAGCATCCTTAGAGGTGGTCAGATAGACATCGTTTACCGTTTTCCCTGAAGATCTATCCGAGAGGCGAAACAGTTTACAGATAATAAATTCAACTTGAATGACCTGGAGAACGAACATCACTGGTTTTCATTGGCCGCCGGAAAAAATACTACCGACCGCTGGTCTGTTACCTCCTCCATCAAACCAGATCGCTCTTGCCTATTGATTCGTAAACCCAGTGGAAACTTTCCTGCGGTTAACTATGATCATCGATGCGTCATCTACTGTGGTCGAGAAATAAGCATGACAGACCTCATACAGATCCCGTTGGTGCTCTGCAGTTACACTCCGGAGTTGGATGTGGGTCAGGCTGTTGAGCCAGAAATCCCTCTATCCGAATGGCCAACCAGAGAGTATCATATTCCCACAGGGTATCATCGCCAACAGTCTTTCCCCTTCTTCTGTGTCCATTTGTTTTTACGAATCATCTAGTTTTTATCAGCAAGAATCCATTACCGACTTCATAAGTCACAACCGTAAAGAAATGGGGTCATCTTTCAGACCTACCCTGAGTCTTTCAAGGTCCGCGCTTAGCGTCACCCCGATCAACAAGAAGCACTCTTTATAACTTAAAACTCATTCGGAACTGATGTGTACTGTGTTTCTGGACCACGCTTACAGAAAAGCAATGTCTTTTGATCTACACTTACGAGACGCAGATTTCAATGCCCAGGTTTACTCACTTCTCTCCTTAGTGGACGTATACTCACGCAATCACTCGAAACCATGCACAGTAGACGTGCAGAAGCTTTCGTTCTAGGCTTGATCCTAGTGACTGGTCGCACGTACGCCAATCGACCTCGTAGCCTGATCGATGTCAACAAGCTTCGATCTAAGGCAATGTGCCGGTTATTCCAGCCTACGTTTCCACGGACTATGGCCCAGAATTCACTATAGATGAATTGTACAGGCATCTGTCATCTCTGATACGAATAGCCAAAAGCACGAGCATCGTAGTACTTGCGAGTGGTTTGAATGCCCAGTTGGTCACTTATAAGGGACTGAACCTCGCCTCGTGGACATTTCCGCCATTGATGTCCCTGTTATGCTGACAATAATGACCGCTTTCTTCAGCTCTGCGCTGATCACAACTATATGGGCAGCGTAGTCTTCTAACGCAAGCGCCCACATCGGGTTTTATAGCGACCACTAAGCGGTAGGTTACTTTTGCTTAAATAGCCATCGGCTATGGTTGACGCACCTCAGAACAAGATTTTCGTCATGTCTGTAGTACTCGTCTCGATTCTAATGACGTTGTCGTACGCGTGCACCTATCGCTCCCACTTCCCGTCTCGATAAGGAGCTTAACTTCGAGGACACACTGATGTACTGTATCAGTGGTTTACGAGGGACTAAAATCTGTGTGAATTGCGACCTCAGTTATCACTGACGAATGAGATAGACGAACCAAACAAGTACTGTACTCGCCTGTAATGCATGAGGAGGAAAGACAGGAAGCTACTTCGTCTCCCATCTCTAAGTGGCTGAATAGTGTATGGATATTTGAAGCCTTCACTAGCTTAATTGGCGGAAGGAAGGTAGTTCCGCTGGGATGTTAGGTGACCGAATGCCAAGTTTAAAGTACGTGAACAATATACAGTCGAATCCGCTTTATTGCACACCCAGTTTACAGCCTACCCCACTTTATTGTCTCGTTTCTCAAAATACAAATTCTTTTCTGATAGATATGCTAAACTTTCACCGTCTAATTGCCAAATGTCGAGGTCGTTCTACCGCTTAATTGCCCACCTTCGCGGGCTGTCCTCTTTTCCCTTTGTCAAATTCACTCTTTTGCTCTGACTATCTTTTATAACGATTAACCCACAGCTAGCCAGTCCGATTGAGCCAACTTATCGACGGAGTTATTGACATACGAGAAAAGTTTATTTACGTCATTCACTACACGAGTAAGCTAAATGTACAGACATCTGTGGGCAAACCCTTGGCCCTATTCAAAACTCAACAACTGTGCAAAGTCTGGTAATCTTTCCGCTCCACATTTGTCAGTACTCTATAGGTTACGCGCGTTTATGGTCAGTAACAGAAAGGATTTGTCCTTGACAGAAAAGCTAGACGTTTAGGGACAAAATTAAAACTTATCCACCAGGAATCTCGCAAGCGAGCGATTGTCGCGTGATTTAACATCTCTCGTCGTACCCTTGCCAGGTTGATTGTCAACGAAAAGTAACTCCGGCAGAATTTGTCGCATGACACTGCAAGCTGTCAGAAAAGAAAGCGATGTGGAACGGATGAAGCATTTGAAACGGCATTGAAAGACTGGATGATAATGGTTCGTGAGCACAATCAAAGAGTTACAGGCCCGCTTCTGAAGAGAAAGGCCGAAGAATTCGGGGAAAGATTTGGAAAATCCTTTGCTGCTCCAGAAGGATAGTTACAAAGGTAGAAGAATAGAAATCAACTAGTGTATGAACTTGTGCATTGCGAAGAGAGTTCCGCGGACAGAGCAGTCTGTGAAAATTGGCTGAACTATCTACTGTCTGAACTTTGAAATGCAGTTGATAATGGTAGTTTGTACACTACGGAAGAAACAGGCGTTTTTTCCGCGCAACTTCGGAGGGCTCTTTATGTTTCTCAGCCGACAAGTTCAGTGGATCGAGAACTGCTGTGCTGCGGGAATATGTCAGTCAGGGATAAAAATAATCTAGTTTCTATTGGAAAATGTAAGAAACTTGCAGGTTTTAATGGCGTGAACATGAACACGCTTCCCGTAGCTTACAAAGGTAACAAAAATGCGTGGATGACGAAGAATATTTCACCGAGTGTGTCCTCGAATAGAGCAAGAATCTAGGCCAAGGTGGCGGAAAAATTATGATGCTCTTGGATAATTACACAGCACATCCACAGGTTGAAGGCCTGAAGAACATTCAAATGGAATTTTTGCCGGTAAACATGACCAGTATTCTTCAACCTCTGGACGAAGGTGAGCTTATGAATCTGAAAATCCGTCACAGAAAGGAAATTGTGGACCGAGTTCTTTATCACATCGAAACCAACATGTCATCTGGCTCATCGTCGGAGGTGGATGTCAGCGCCAAGATTTATGCGCTCGATGCAGTTCGGTTGGTTACAAAATGTTGGGGACAGTTGCCGGTGCAACAGTAAAAGCTTACTTTCGGCACGCTGGCTTCAGTCGACTGGCATCCGATGCAGTTTCTGATGACGCTGTCATCCCTGAGGACGAGATCAGCGCTTGTACAACCCCAGTCATCAATGCAGAAGAGTTCGTCGCCATTGAGAACGATGTGGAATGTACCTCAAATCTGACAACCGTTGAAGATGAAATCGTCAGTGAAATTTTAGAGAACCAACTAGAACAGAAAGAAGGCGGCTACTCCTAGGATGATGTGCCGGATGCCTCTGTGAGTAACCGTAATTGGCGCGTGTTGCATTCAAGAGCAAAGAACTACGTGAATGATCTGTATAGCTGCGGACTTTTGCATGGGCTAGGCAACGATTTCTTGGCCAAATTGAATTGAATCAGTGCAAAAGTGATTGGCGTAGCAGCTCAAAATAATGAACCACTGATGTTGGATTGTTTTCTCAGCAAAAATATACAGTAGCGCCAGTTTCTATAGCTATCAAGGTAAGGCGCGCTATATTATTACTGTTAATTTATAGGTCATGCTCTTCTGAATAAACTCCTTTTGTAGGCCTTAGTTACAAGTACCTATTTTATCCTTCTTAGCACGTTAAAGTTCAAGTGATCTAATGTACAATAATTCTAATGGTTGTTTCTCTCTTGGAAAATATGGAAATATCAGTTAATTGCCCAGCCTCACTTTACTGCCCATTTTTGAAATCTCTCGTTGGTGGGCAAGAAGTCGGGTTCGACCGCAGTTCTTTTTGGATCGAACCCATCTGCTCTGCGACCGCTGCTGAATAGACTGACTCTTAACGATCTTCGCTTTAGCAAGTGCTTTGTACCTTCGGGGTGTTAGTTACGGCAACCTAACTAGGTGGACGCACCATCAGTATCCACGATTATGAAAGAACCACTCGAAATGGTCAATCTGGCAGTTAACCCACCGATGTGATTACCGCACACATCAGTAACACTCATGGCTTCTTAAAGCCCTAGCCCATTATGGTAACCTGGGGATGCAAACCCAATGGCTGGAGGAAGGATTTACTTCGATGT